TACCCAGCTGAAGATGGAAGGGAAAGGGAGAAACGGAGCATGCGACGGAACAATACTAAAAATAAGTGCACACCTAGCACGTTGTACTAAAATGATAGGGTACCAGAGTGAATATAGACGTCAGACCATAACCAGGAGTTGTAGCGCGGTAGGACGATAAAATGCTTATGACAGTGCGCATCAGAGTTTTGAATACCACAGATCCAACTTTGAAACTGAATCCGTGTACTCTTAAGAATTGGTTGCAAAAGTGGACACAGCTATCTGGTTTGCATATGTCACGGAGGGGGGCCGAGGGAATTGAGTGAGAATGATTCGGGGAATATCTTGCTTACCAGATATTAGGTAACAATGCTTGTAAGAAGGACAGATTCGTCGAGGACAAGATGCATACGAAGCAAGAGTGAAAATAGAAAAACTAGAGAGGACCTGGCTGAAGTTTTGAGACATTCAGCAGGCGTCTATCACAGCTCTGTGAGTTTCAACTGCACCACGCAGAACATCAGTTTTTGTTTTGAAATCTTGTTTGCCGAGTGAAACACATTGCGGTGCGGAGTTATCGAATTTCATTATGTATAGCCTGGCAAACACTCATAATTTCCAGATTAGACAGAAAAAGTTGGATGTGGTCAACGAATTCGGTTTTTAATGAAACAAGTCACTGATTTCATAAACCTGTATTTATTCCCGAGAAAGCCGACTCTGCCAGGGAATGTAAGGGACTAATCAATTCCTGTCAATACCACATGCCTTCGTAAAATTCCTAAATAACACATTTGTGTGCCACGAGCTTCCATCTGTACAAAAGCCTTTTTGTTGGGTCGCAAAAACGTCAGAAATGGAAGCACCTTATTATTATTTTTAATCCCGAAGAGGCTTTCAGTACAACGTGCTCACTTATTTCCATTTAGTTGTCATAATTTAACAATAATAGCGTTTCAAAGGTGAATTCTTCGTGCTTATAGCAAATGAAGCGTGAACTGAAAACCTAGGAAGAACTGGGACAGCTGTTTCGACCTGATTGGGTCTCATCCGCAGTGCGAATCCAATGACCCAACTGGGGATCGAAACTGAGACCTCACAGGCAGAACGCAAGCATGCTATTCCCTCGGCTATATACACGACGAATTCACCTTTGAAATTGAACCAAATCCTCTGTTACACAATTGAAATAATGTCGGTTTTAAGAAAATGCACAAGCAAGGGTGGCCAAAAACGTCATACAAAATAAATTGCCCTACAACCTCGATAAGTCGTTTTACTTCTTAATAATCGACCAGGAAGTGTTCTGTTCAGTTTTAAATTTAATCGTATGGCGATGCCAATTTGAAACCGTTTACACTCTAGGATACTACAAATATCTCAAAGTTAGTCCTAATAATAAAAGACATAATTACGTACTGGACTAAATGCAGTATCGATCAAAACAAAACGGCGAATTGCTTTTCACTGTCAGTATTACCACCATCTGTACGGTGGTGTCGGGACTGCCGGACCGGTTAAATCGCGACTTTCCATCTGGTCATGTGACTGGTCGCGTGCGGAGCGCACCTCGGAGCGGTCCCCAAGCGAATGTCCATAAACTAGGCTGATCAACTAGACGTTGAATCGATCAATTATGCCCTGCCACACGTACACCGTTCGCTTATGCATGCCCGTATGTGAGCGCGTCTAGCACGTGTTATTCACGTTATCCATTGATTAAACTACAAATGCCGACATGATACGTTTATCATAAATTTCTCAGCCTCAACGATATTTCATTTATCTGATTGAACATACTGATGCAGTTGGTTAATTTGAAGGACTGAGGAACATGAGTATGGCTGAGCTTACTGATTAGGGAGAAATAGAAGAACATTTTTGTGAAGTATCATTTTCCGCGAATATGGGAATACTGAAACTCGCATAATGATGTTGTCTATACAAACATAGAGCTCAATAGTGTTCTCACGTGAGTTTGAGTAGGAAATAAGCATCGCATGGATCATTCAATATATCAGACAAATATATGCTTAAATAACAATAAATCGATGACAATTCGTTAGTCTGGATATCTAAAACTTTACACACACACACACGCACTGTTGCTCCACCTGTATAGTGTTAGTCTGGCTGAATGAGTACGCCATCTTTGCTTCCCGTTTCGTTTGCATCTATCCAGTCCACTTAGAAACTGAAAATCCCCTTCAAAATTGATCAATAGAACGTGACTTAAGTCCTCGATAAACGACAGACCATTGGGTGTTCACAAAAAGAAATTCTGGGAATGGAGTAGTGCGAATGGGACGTCAAAAAAGGGAAATAATAAAGATAAAATGTGTGCTAAAGGACAGTTCTTATAAATCCGAAAAGAAACAGACTAAAAAAGACAGTTTGAAAGCCATCAAACCCTCGTGATCATATACAATCCACAAAAATATCAAAAGGCATACGGTGAAACACACACCAAGTTGCGGTTATCCATGTTATCTACTGTTTTCCTTTGTAACTGTTTATCATTTTTACATTTCATTCTGTATCCTAATCAACCATTCCCCTGTTTCTGTTATTATTATTTTGGCGTAGGAGCCATGCTTTTCATTAGGCCGGTGGTATATATATATATATTCTATCCTGAGCGTCATCTCCCTTTCCCCTTAGGCTTACTTCCGGTTTCGTTTAATTTTCATTTGACCAGGTTTTTCCTCACTTAATTATTCGAATTTGCTCCAGCAACAGGCCTAACTCACACCTGGCTTTCGCTTCTCTATACATTTACGAAATTCTATCTAACTAACCGATTTGTTTGAAATAAATTAATGACAATAAAATAAGTGTTTTTGCTACCTTTTTGTTTACGGATTATTTAGATGGACAATAAGCATGCAGGAAGGGAGCGTGATCATAGAAAGACTGCCTGAGGAAATACAAATCATGGAAGAAGGGCGATGGTGGTAGGATTCGAACTTAGGACTCCTAGACGGCTTTTTCGATGACCTTACCACTTGAACACCCTGCCGCCGTAACATTTCAGAAGTTGACAACTAAGATGTAACTGAAACTTCTATACACAAGACAAGCAACCTCCTCGTGCTGCTTTCTCTCAAAATATCTCTCTTCAGAACGAACGATTCAGATTTTCTTGCAGGCAGTGATGCAGTTGATGCTGTCACTTCAGCTATCACGTAGTATCCAGTTTTGACGAATTCACTTTATCTGACCATTCACATCTTCCACCATCGACTTTTTATACGCGTTAGCAGCACATATTCTTGTTGAGTTACGACGCAATTCATAGGAATGTTTTTGGGCAACTCACAACTCAAAAATAGTAGCCAAGACATCGTGGAGCTATGCGAAGTATGTTTTCGGTGAAATAGACTTTTCGCTTTTTCCGTTCGCACCCATGTTTTCATTGTTACCCTCGTCCGTGAAATATGCACGGACACGGAACGGTTCACCCAGGTGTCGTATACGCTTTGTTGCATAAAACAAGTCAATGCGGAAGTTCGGTTTCAAAACATTACAGTTTTCCTCCATCATCTGTTTTCCGCCACATTGGATAGCTCCTGTCTGACCACAGCGGTACGAACTCCGATGTGCGTGACATTCGTCCTGATTTTAGCCTTTATTTTTTCCGACTATCTAAGCGGTTACATTAACTGCACGTGGGCCTATGTCACGAACTGATTCCGGATGCATTCTGCAAACTAATATTGTTCGTTTCTTTTATTCCTATTCGTGACGATGAAAATGCCGTGTGTATGTTTATACCATCACACTATGTCAACAGAACTGAAAGCAGCGATGCAATCTGTCAGCAGGTAAACATAAAACTTCCGATGCCATCCCAATTTCAGCACTTCTTGGATTCGGACCGTAGATTCAAAGATATCTCGCGCATGGATTCAAGGATTGAATAGGACCACACCACAATTTCACCAACCTTTTTGATTGATGACCAAGAGGTTCCATGCACGATCGCCAGAGCCTCACTTTCTTCTGTTGACGATGTGGCGCTAACGCCAAATGTACACATTCACCGACGGATCAATCAAAACCATCCAATGCTCCTTTTTATGTAAGTTCAGTTTCAAAAATAGTCAATGTAACCGGTAAAAAGAAATGAACGCAAAGAAAATCAAGCTAGGACCGGATTATAATAAGGGTGACTAGAGGATGGCAATATTGCCTCTTGTGTGATCCCTGATCACTGATTTTCGACCCCCAGATTGACGTGTTACCAATGCACATTTGAGGTTGTCAATGATATTGCAAATATACGGAACTGTCCCGAAACAGGTAGAAGGCAAACTCTGTTTTTTCTTTTGTAATATGTACTTAATTCATAAGAAACAACAATCTAAAACAGCAAAGACAAAAGTTACCGATTCACTTCTGGGCATGTACATTCCGGTAGTTTTATTTACGATACCAAAACTGTTGGGTTTGCATGTACTTGATCTTCTTTTGAAGCTGTAAACAAGCATACAGCAACGCTTCCGCGGTCGGAGGGCAGCCTGGAAAAGGAAATGACGTCATAGTATGGATATAGAGTAGTGCTTAAAAGGAGGTGGGGTTTTAAATTTAGTACGGGCAAAGTTTTACCGTATCAAATTAAGCTCGGGACCGCGGAAAGTCGTTATAGGGTTAATCAAAATACGCACAGGGTAAAGTACGGTATTCATTCTGCATGGAGAAAAGATCAAATCTAGAATGCGTTCAGGGTTCAATACTGCCTTCGTGATTTAATATTGCATGCAATCCCGTTTAGCAACGAGTATCCTGTCAATAAATACATCGCATAAAAGATGCCAGTAGACATAAAAATAAACAAAACGACTGTGTTTATGCCACCATTCAAAGAAATTAGAAGGAAAATCGAAATGGTTTTCTTCCAGATCAGAAGTTAACATGACAGAGTAGTACAACGAGTAAGTCCCGTAATCCGTAAATCAAAATTAAGATTTCGGGTCACAGCTAGAGCCTCTAATGAATTGCAAGACGATCTGCGAAATTTCGTTGGTAACGATGATAGATCAAGAAAACCAAATAATCGAACTGAACCAGCTTGCATAGCGAACACTAACTAGGGGTAGCGGGACCTAAT